CTTGGCCTGCGGACTGAAGGGTCCCGAGTTCGATTCAGGTCAAGGGCACATGCCCAGGTTACAGGTTCAGTCCCCAATAGGAAGTGCAGGAGGCAGCCGATCAATAATTCTCTCTCATCATTGATGTTTCTATCTCTCTGCCCCTTCTCCCTTCCTCTCTGAAATCAATAAAAATATGTTTTAAAAAATAATAAAAGTATAAAAAAGTAAAAAGAAACATGAAAATGTCCTTGGTTTCCCTAATCTAAGCTAATCAATTGAGTTTACATTCAAAATGTGTAGTATGTGCTTAGTACATGGCAGATTACACACATGTATAAAGTCCAACTTGTAAGTTTAAATCTCATTGGGATGGCCAAATACGTATCCATGAGTGAAACAAATTTGTACTCATTCTAATGGCGGCCTATTATGTAAGTAGTGAGAATAAAACATTGCACAATGAGAAACTATAAGCAGATATGAGAAAATAAACTTACAGGAGTGGGTTGGGATGTTGGAAGCAGATAGTGAGAACATTAACTCACTTGAAAAAAAGGGTATGTTTTGGGAAAAAATAGAAGATAATGATAGATAACAAGAGGCCAAGCTAAGTTTGGTATGTCCTCAAGTACTGGGAGCCATCAAATGTTTTGAACCGAATTTAATCTGGCATTGGTGTACAAAATAAATTAAAGAAAGGATCATAATTAAAGAGCCGAAAGGATCCTTAGAGGTAATTTAATCCAACCGCTATCAAATAAGCTCTGAAAGGGTATTTATTTCTTAAGCTATTGATAGATTCTGACCATGCCAGAATTCTTTCATCATATTCCATTTGATTGTAACCAATCTATAATATACACTGTCACATTGTACATACTGCAGCTATAGCCCTTATTTATGTATAATGCTTTTTAGTATATAACCGTATCAGTGTACTAGTATTTTATACCTAGATGTGTCAGTGTTACCTTGATTTCTAAATTCTTAGGGGCAAGAATTATGTCAGTTTATTTAATGAGTCCACTAGAGGTCACTGTGTTTTCACAGAGAATGATATTTTTATGTGCTAATGATCAGCATTCTAGAATTCAATATTTTAAAGAGTTTGTGTAGCTATTGCACATATAATAAGCTCAACAGGAATTTGATACTTTAAAGAAAGTCTATTCAAATATGATACAGGAGTATAACATTCAGAATCTGTTTTCTTTTATAGCAGGAAAAAATGCTTCTTTTAAATGGTGGCATTTAGTATTTAATGCAGAGATATTTTTATTAGCTTAAAAGTGAGTCATCGTAATAAATAATAAATCACATCACAATCATTTAATGATAGTTATCTTATTACTAATATTACTTTATTAATTATTGAATACTTATTTAACAATAATTTTAAAATAAGAATAAATTTTAAAATCCACTCAAAGAATTAATACTTTATTGCAATGACTTTTAAAATTTTTGACTACTATAATAAATGCGTTTTACATTATGATTCATCACATTCATATAACTGAAACAAAAGTTTTATGAAATAATACTTGTCTTCACTACATGAAAAGCCTTTGATATTTTGTACTCTGTTGCTTTTTAAAAATGCTGATAGCACTGAATTGGTTGGTCCTGATCTGCAGTTTTAAGAGCACTGCTTTGCTGGATCTAGCTTAGGGTTTCTTCTTCTACTATAGAAAAGCCTGTTATCAACACTAAGCCTCAGTTTCCTCATTTGTAAAGTAGAAAGTTGCATTTGCGGTCTTAGTTCCCTTTAGTTCTGATGTCTTACAGTTCTCAGTCTGCTGCTATAGTGAAAGTCTTCTAGTAAGGAAAGGTCTTCTTTATAAATATAATAAAAATTTAAATTATCAGCATAAGAGTAGGGAAACTTATACTATCTTGTCCTTGTAGGGAAGTCTCTCTCATTTAAGAATTTAGAATAAAAGTTACTTCAGTTTGTGAAGATGAAGACTGATAAAGAATTGGATCAAAGTTTTTAAATTATGAGGAATCGGGAATGCTTTATTCTATGTCCAGGACAACTTGAAGTTGACAACTGCAGGAACACCATGATGTTACACACCATTTGGAAATAGAATACTGAATTTGACAGAGTTTGGTCTTTCTTAGATTACTGTGAAAGCAAATATAAACTTATTCACCAGATTCTAAAATACTAAAACCTATAGTGTCTCAAAATTTCTGATTGTTTTATACCATAATCTCACTATGACAATAAAAAATGTATCACGAAACATTTAGACAAATTTATGAATTCTAGCTCCATATTTCTATCAAGGCTTTGAAGTCATAAAGGGCCTTAGAGGTTTTCTAGGCCCTCATTTCTATTATTCGAGTATAAAAAAAAAAATTAAGTATATTAATGTCACGGAGAACAGTAATGTTTCTCACAAAATGTCTCCTGATGCCCTGTCAGAAACAAAACATTGACCTAGATGGCCTGGGTCCTGATGCAATATGGTGCTTCTCATGTTGTGAGTTAGAGACTTTTTACCCACTTGGTGGCCAGAAACAG